TCTAAGAGACCAAGTCTATGGTCATGTACATTTCACATTTAAGTAGACAACCCCGAAGTATGCTCCAAAAATAAGATTTCCCTGTTGATTTTCCCACAAATGGTGTTTAAGTTACCTGCTCCTTGCCAACACATGACATCCTCATCAATCTTTTTAATTTTTTGTGTATTACTTTAATTATAAGGAGGTTAAATAGGATGACCTTTGATAACTCTATTTTCTTCCTTACTATCTTCCATCACCAAACACAATGCACACACTATTGGTTCTACCTCCAAAATAAATTTCAAATCTGTCCTCATCTTCTGCCTCAGTCACCACCATTCCAGACTCAGCTGTCCTCATCCATCACACGAACTCTGAAATTCTCTGCAATTGTCCCCCACTTTCACATGCATTCTCCACCCAACAACCAGAGAAATCTTTCTTGAAGTGTAATTCAGATCACATCACTCCCATGCTCAAAAGACTGCTGTAGCTTCTGCTGGACTGAGAATTACATCCCAGCCCCTTTCCAAGGCTGCACCATCTCCCCCACCTCTGACTTCATCCCCTCCACTCTCTTGCTCACTACTGTCCAGACACCCTGGGTCCCTTTCTACTCCCCACAAATCCCCCAGCTCCTCCATGCTCAGGGTCCCTCCCTCTGTTAGGGACACCCTTCCCTAAACTGTCCTCTGCTTATCTTTCAGGTCTTAGCTTAATGTCATGCAATCTAAAATGGGTCTTCCCCGAAAACTCTAATTTGAAGATACATGCACTCCAATGTTCATAGCAGCACTATTTACAATAGCCAAGACACGGAAGCAACCTAAATGTCCATCGACAGATGACTGGATAAAGAAGATGCAGGGTATATATATATGTATGTATGTATATATGCATATATACATATGAATGTTACTCAGCCATAAAAAGAATGAAATAGTGCCATTTGCAGCAACATGGATGGACCTAGAGATGATCATACTAAGTGAAGTGAGTCAGACAGAGAAAGACAAATATCATATGATATCACATACGTGGAATCTAAAAAAATAATACAAATGAACTTATTTACAAAACAGAAACAGACTCACATAGAAAACAAACCTATGGATACCAAAGGGGAAAGAGAGTGAGGGTTAAATTAGGAGTTTGGGATGAACAGATATATACTACTATTTGCAAAATAGATAAACACAAGGACCTACTGTATAGCACAGAAAACTATATTCAATACCTTGTAATAACATACAATGGAAAAGAATCTGAAAAAGAATATATATATATGTAAAACCAAACCACTTTGCTATACATCTGAAAGTAACACAACATTGTAAATCAACTATATTTCAATTAAAAAATAAATTAAAATTAAACATGTCTTCCCCATCTTGTTCTAATCTTCCATCCTTTGCCTTCATGGCACCCGTCAACACTGAAATGCAGAAGCTAACCTATGTATCTATTTCAGATATTTTGGGTCCAGCACCACCAGACTGGGAGCCCATGAGGGCAGAGACTTGCCCATCTTTTCTTCCCTGTATCTCCAGCACCAAACACAGTGCCTGATACACAGCAGATGCTCAGTGAGGAAGGAACACGTGCATGAATGAATGAATGGATGGATAGCCAAGAAAGAGGCAGCCTAGGAACCAGGGAGGAAAGGGAGAGAAGTAAGGAGGTACTCAAGGGAAACCTGGGTCAAGAAGGAGTCCTAGGAGGCAAGGGAGGCCAGGACATGGATGAGCATCTAATGGCACCTTCCAGCTGTTTGCTGTTCTGTGATGCAGTTCTCTCTGTGATGTCAGTAAAAGCCTGTGCTGCTCAGGAGAGTGACCCTTTGAGGAGTAAAAGGAAGATGGGCAGGTTCTGAGTCTACGTGGGGATGGAGAGACAAGAACAACTGTAGGGGTTACTCCAAGAAACACGTGCCCCTGGGAATCCTTGGTGATTCGGGCCAGGTGGGGACACCTTGGAGGGAAGAGTGACTGCACAAGACTAGAGGATTTTGGTGATTCCATTTTTTTTACCAGGTTCCCCATTTTCTTCAGAGGAAAAGAATATTAGGAAAAAATGACAAAGGACACTAAGAATGAGATGGCCAATTCCTCTTAGGAGGAGAGGTGGGGGTGCAAGGAAATGAGCCTGAGTGCCTGGTCCTCCTCTGCACCTCCATTTCCTCATATGTAAAGTGGGCACGACAGTCACCGTCCACATCCGGATGTCGACAGAGTACATGAGATAACAGATCTCAAATCTTGGCACTGGTTGAAATGCTTTTCACCTCGTTCACGGCAGGTGAGGAGCAGGGAAGGCACAAGTCCAATGACAACCGCAGGGACCTTGTGGGGGGAGGGTCGGCTTCCTGGCCTTGTGACCTGTGCAGTCACACGGGGCCCTGTGCTTGGTTAATGCTCTGCTTTAATGTCACCATCTTGAAATTCGTAATTTTTGAACAAGGGACCCTATATTTGCAGTGTGCCTTGGGCTCCACAAATTAAATTATGGAGCTGGTTGTGTGTGTGAGAGAGGGAGAGAGGAGGGGGGAAAGAGAGAGAGAGAGAGAAGGATGCTGTTATGGGTGCCCAATGAAGAGATGGAGAGATGTTCTCATTAATGAAGCGATGTTAATTGATGGCAATACCCGCCCTGTGGTCTCGAGCCAATACCGCGCACCGACAAGCTGAGACATCACCTAACAATAGCCCCTCTCAGTGCCAAACATCAGCAACCAAACAACCCCTCCTAGACTTTGGGCTGTTACCCAAACACCCCCACACCCCCATGCCAAGGCCCAACACCCAGTGGTGCCAGGTGTGGGCTCCCTCCAAATTTTCCCAAGGACTCAACCAGCCCCACAGGCTGTGTGCTGGTGTTTCCAGATATGCCATGTGCTCGCTCCCACAAGCGAGCCCACACTACCCTGCAGGCAGCCTAAATGATGTGTTTGCCACTCTGTCCTCTCTGGGCCAGAAAGTGAGCTCCTTGAGGGCAGGAGCTGGGCCATCATCATCTCGGTGTCCCTAAGACTGGTTGCAGTGCTTAGAACACAGTAGGTGCTCAACAAATGCATGCTAACGCCATTTATACACTCATTCCGCAGGCACTGATCACCCAGACAAGATTAACATAAAATAAAGGAACACTAAGATGTTTACAGTTTACAGCAAGAAATTGAGCCTCAACAAGATCTGAAGTCTTACCACCTCAAGTGGTGCCTTCTGCAGGCTGGGACTCTCCCTGCTGAGAAGTGGGAAGCAAGGAAAGGCTTCGCTCCCCTATTCCACTTCCAAGATTGCTGCTTCCTGGGTCAGTGTTCAACGACCTGCTCACAACAGGGTACTTGGTGAAGCAGAGTGGAACGGCCCTGACCGAGTCAGGAGACCTTGGCTCTGTCCTACTCAGCTCAGTGGCCTTGGCCAAGGCCACTCCCTTCTCTGAACCTCACTTCCCCCTCCATCAGGTGAACTTACTGGATTAGGGCTGTGCTATCCAATATGGTAGCCACTTGCTTGAAATGCGGCTAGTGAGACTGAGGATGTGAATGTGAAATTTTATTTCTTTTTAATTAATATAAATTTTAAAACTGATACACAGTCAGTCCCTGGAGAATTTTTAGGTACAGTTGGAACAAACAGAACCTACTTTTTTCCATTGTAAATTTGACCAGATCTAAAGATAGATGAAATGTTTCTGAAGAAAATTTAACATTTGGATTAAGACGTGCTGTAAATATAAAAGACAGATTTTATAAGTATAAAATAAGTATAAAATATAGACTTACTATGAAAAAAGAATGCGAAATATCTCATCAACACTTTTTATAATGATTACATATTGAAGTGATAATATTTTGGATTTAATAGGTTAAATGAAATATAGTACTAAATTAATTTCATCTGCTTCAGTTTTTTGTTTTTAATGTGGGTACTAGAAAATTTAGTTACATCTGTGGTTTCTGCTCTCCTTCTATTGGACAGCACTGGATTAGGAAATGTCCCAAAGTGCTTCCTTTTTTTTTTTTAAATAATCTGATATTCCACAAATCTATAGTCTCTCAATGCTCGATAACTATTGAATTCTATTTGTTTGCTTGTCTGGCATCATACTCCTCACCCCACTCTTATGTTGGCACCTCAACTTTTCAGATGAAAATTGTCTCTGGTAGACTCACCTTCACCCCCAGCTATAGAGATGGGCATATGGCCAGGCCTGGCCAATCAGAGAAGAGCACCCTCCCTTTGACCACAGTGATTGGGTCAGGACTGACACATGACCACCAGGGAGAGCCAATTAGACTCCATTTGACTGAAAGATTGGCAGTAAGTCCAGCGCTCCCCCTGGGATCGCTGAGGGAGAGGGATGGACGCCTAGAGCTGCAGGCGGCCATGTTGTCCCCACGAGAGAACAGCTTGCCTGACAAGGAGGCTGCCACAGAGGGAGAACCAGGAGTGAAGACAGAGGCCAAGTCTTGTATCTGAAGCCAGGATCTATCCCTGGACTTTTCAGTTACATGAGGGGAAGAAAATAATTCCTTCTTGCTTAAGTCAGTTTGGATCAGAATTCTGTCCCAAGCATCTTGAATAACACATGGACACTTGGTTATTTCCCATAACCCCAGCTCAGGTGATCATGTTCTAAATCGCTGGGCTGCTCCCAACCCTCTCATGAGCTCTACCTTCCCATGCTCCCAGCCTCCTCTCGTGACCACTCTCACCCTCCCATCAGCTGGGATGACCCATAGTGGCATGACCCAGCCCCACTTGTCTTCCTGTATTTTCACATTTAGGCATTTCCCATTGCTTGGAAAAGCTCCGCCCTCTCCCTCCCCACCCCCTCTCTGCCCCCTGCCTCATAGGACCTGGCTAACTTCTCATCTTTCAAGCCTCAGCTACTCTTATCAAGGTCACCAGTGACCTCTGTGCTGCCAAATCCAATGGTCACTTCTCCATCTACCTCTCATATAACTTCTTGACAACATTCCACACAACTGACCATTCCCTCCTTCTTGAAACTGAGGCGGGAAGCCCCATAAAAAGACCAGCAGGACCCCCAGGCAGGGTCACTACTCTCCTGCCAACACCATCTGGTTTCCTGACCGGAAACTCTATCTCATTTTTTGCCTCTGAAACTGCTCACTTACCCCTAAAATTCTATTGGTTCCGTGAGCTCACTCCTGATTGGTTATTTCCCTTACTCCTGATTGGTCCATTTCCCTAACTTTTGATTGGTCCAGTTGTAGTACTTCATTTGCATGGAGCTCACTTCTGATTGGTTATTTCTCTCACTCCTGATTGGTTATTTCTCTCCTTCCTGATTGGTCTATTTCTACAAAGCTTGTTCCTAGTTGGTCAACTTTTGTTATACTTTATTTGCATATGATGTTGCAAAGTGTAACCCGGCAGCCTATAAAAGTCTGTGTAAACTTACAGACGGGGTCCAGAGCTTGGATTGTTAACTTCTTTGGGTCTGTTGGCCTAGTAAACCTGAGTTCTCCAATCCTCTTTGTGCTGCTTGGTCTCGCCTGGATCCAGATTGCTGTCACAACGGAGCTATAACACATTTTTCCGGAACGTTCTTCTTTCTCTAGGTTCTCATGATAATTTATTCTCTTCCTCCCACCTGCTTGACCACTCCTTCTCAATGTATTTATTCATTCTTTTATTTTCTTGTGTTTTCTTTCAACAGATATTTCCTAAGAGCGTACTCCTTGCTAAGCCCTATGCTAGGTGTCAGGCAGCCAACAGAGTAAAGCCCTTCCCCATGGAGTTTACATTCTAGGGCAAGTCTTATTGATTCTCCACCCCTGCTCAATCTCCAAGTGTTGGCTGTGCGGAGGCTCATCTGGAGACTGCTTATCATTTCTATCTTATCCAGTCTCCTGGCGTTAGATTCCATCCATGTGTTCTGACTCCCAAATGTCTATCCCTAACCTTGGCTGTTTACCCTGAACTCCAGACTCATAGATCCACTACCTACTTGATTAAACCACTTGTATAGCTACAGGCTGTCTCAGGATTACCATGTTGAACACAGAAATATTTATTCCCCCCACTCTCAGCCTAAACCTGTTTCTCCACCTGCCATTCTCCACCTCAGTCAATGGCACCATCATCCACCCAGTTGCCCAGCCAAAAACCTAGGAGTCATCCTGATTCTATCTTTTCTTCTTGCCCCACATCCAATCTATCAGCAAGTTCTGTCAGCTCTACCTCCAAAACGTACTCTGAAACAGCCCACTTTTCTCCATTTCCTCTTCTACCACCCTGGTCCAAGCCACCATCATCCATCCCTGGACCACTATTATAATGATCTCTTAATTGGTTTCCCTGAGTCCAGGGGTACTTATCACCCCCATCTATTCCTCACACCGGAGCCAGAGTGATCTTTTAAAAATGTAAATCAGATCATGTCACTCATCTCCTTAAAACCCTCCTGTAAGCAGCGTGGGAGAAGACATTTGCAACATTTATGAAAGACAATGGATTAGTAATTCGAATATATAAACAACTCCCACAAATGAATTAGAAAAAGACAGCCGTGTAGAAAAATGGGCAAGGGATATGAACAGATGATTTACAAGAAACTCTAACAGCCAATAAATACAAAATTACATGTTGCACCTCACTAGTAATCATAGAAACTCAAATTAAAGAGAGTTACCATTTTACACCCAAAACATTGTCAGAACTTTAAAGGGCTGACAGTATCAACTGTTGGCAAGGATAAAAAGAAATGGGAGCTCTCAGACGCTAGTGGGAATATAAATTAGTGTGCCAGCTTAGAGAGCCATCTGGCAACTTCTTATAATGTTGGAAATGAGCATACCCATCAACCCATTAATCCCCTATTTCAAAAACAAGATGCAACCTAAATGTCTATCGATATGAAAATGGATAAATAAAATATGATATACCTGCGTCCATATAATTCTGTGTAGCGCTGAAAACAAATTAACTGAGTTAATTCAACATTTATCAAGCATTGTTGGATGAAAAAAGGCAGCCATAAAAAGGCATGTGCACTAAGTGAAGTAAGCTGGAAAGAGAAAGAAAAATACCATATGATATCACTGATATGTGGAATCTAAAAAAAAAAAGACAGAAATGAACTTATTTACAAAACAGAGGCAGACTCATAGACATAGAAAACAAACTTATGGTTACCAGGGAGGAAAGGGGGTAGGAGGGGTAAACTGGGAGTTTGGGATTTGTAGATACCAGATACTATATATAAAATAGATAAACAACAAAGGCTTACTGTATGGTACAGGGAATTATATTTGATACTTTGTAATAGCCTATAATGAAAAAAGAACCTAGGCAAAGGAATATATATATATATGAATCACTATGCTGTACACCAGAAATTAACAGAACATTGGAAATCCAACTATACTTCCGTTTTAAAAAGACATGTGCGTGCTGCTTTCATTTATGCAAACTTAAAATTTTAAACTTAATGAGAAAAATGGTTTCCTATTACCAGTAAAATCCTAATTCTTACCTTTGACCACAAGGTCCATCTGGCTCTTACTCATTTCTCTAATTCTATCTCACACTGCTCACTAAGCTCCAGCCACACTGGGCTTTTTTAAAGTCTTCCTCAAGGTCTGCATTTTCATGTCCACCATCAAGCCAGAGACTTCCCATGAACTGTGCCCTCCCCCTGGCACTTCCCCTGAAACAGCCTCCCCATCACCTCCAGACATTCCGTGTTCATCCATTTATTTGTTTACATCTTTATCTCTCTCCACTAGCCCATAATCTCCATGAGAGTAGGAACCTTGCTTTTCTTGTTCAGTGGTATATCACCAATGGATGGCATATTATAGGCATTCAATAAATGCTTGCTGATGAATAAATGTGACTTTCTTCAGGAAGTCATTCCTGAATTCCTGGACTAAGAGACATCCCTTAACTCTGTATTTCTACAGCCTCCTGCCTGGCTTTCAGCAATTTTCCCATTTTGATTCAGGAACTCTTGATCTGGGTTCTCAAATGGGTGTCAAGGACTCCATAAACATCCTCAGACTGGAAGCAAAATTTCATGTGCACGTGCTTATTACATTTTCTGGGGAGGAGGCTTCTCGTTGCCATCTTATTCTTAAATGGATCTGTGTCACAAACACATAAAAAAGTTTTAATGACACTGCTGTTTCAGTTATGTTATAATTTGACCAGGTCCTCTAGACTGCGGGTTGCTTGAGGGCAAGTCCACCGCTGTTTCCCCAAATGCCAGTGCAGAGCCTGGCATGTAATAAGTGAATTTCCATAAAATCTTCAATGAATGAGTAGGAGAATGAATGCATGCTTTTGGAGCCTGAGTACCAGGCCCATATGTACTCTCAGACCCCTTGGGAGCCTTAGACGTCAAAACTGGAACAGACTGGAACAGAGAGGGAATAGAAAGCTGGCCTCGGAGGCAGGAGGGGAAAGTCTTCCGAAGCCTGAGCCCAGCGATGCTGATCCATTACAGGTTTTTCCATCTTTGGCCCAGTGTTGGTTTCATCCTCCGTCGCTCTCCTCCTCATCCCCCGGAAGGTGAGCCAGCTTTGGTACCAGGGGTGTTGTAGCCAAGATCAATGCAGTCGCCAAGCTCAGGCAGCCCCATGGAAACCCCACAACAAGCCACCAAAACAGAGACCAAACCCTTCCCAGAAGACTCAAGGGGAGAGGAAAGGTGCTTCCTCCACCAATGACTTAGGAATCTAGAAATTCCAGTGGGGCCAACAGGGCGAGGGGTACAGGACACTCGGCTTCCTTCCATATAAAGAAATCCCAAGCCCCAACATAAAGCCCTATTTGCCGTTTGGCCAGAGTCTGTCTCCAAGGCCATGTTGCACACCCCCCAGGTACCTGCATTTCCCTGAGTTCATGGATGAAGTCCAGGCAGGCTGGGTCCTCGGGTATCACGAGGTGTATATAATAGTCCTATTGGCTCCACTGACTATCAGCCATATACCTGGCCTTGTGCTATACGATCTACATGTTTAGAAAATTTAATCCTCACACTGTCCCTATCAGCTCCATTCGAAAGAAGAGGAAACTGAGGCAGAAAAGGCCAAATGGTTTGCCCAAGGCCCCTCAGCCAACAAGTGGCTGAGCTGAGATTTAAATAGGTCATCTGATTCCTGTGACCTTAACCTCAACCTCAGAGCCACAATTGACAGAGGCCATAGGTGGTCACTGTCACCCGATTACATTCAGGCCTCATGGCAACTCTGGCAGGGGAATTACCACTACTTTTCCCATTTTATTATTTATTTTATTAATTTTGTTCTTTAAGTGCAGTTGATTTACAATGTTAGTGTCAGGTGTACAGCAAAGCAATTCAGTTAGACATATACATTTTTTCTCCCTATTTTGTTTTATTTTATTTTATTTTATTTTATTTTATTATTTTTGCACTCTTATAAATATTCTGTTTATTCAACACAATCCTTTTACTCTACACAACAAAGTACAAACACAACATTGTCTAAAATGCCACAAAGTTACGAAACTCAAACCAGAAAATGTACAGTCCTGACCAGACAATAAAAGCCAAAACAGCAATGTCCTGGTTGCTAAGGTAACCGGCGAGCCCACCCCCCCAGCGCAGTAGCGGGGTCTGTGATGACCCTGCGGTGCTGGCTTTCAACCTGCTCATCAATTTCAGAGAGAGAAAGAAAGGAGAACGTTGGATGAGTGTGTGGGTGGGTGGGTGTGCGGGCACACACCCGTGAATATGTGTAAAAAGAGAACCATTTTCGGTAACAGAGGGTATTTGACCCTAAAGGTCAAAAGTGGACTCAAGCAGGAATGGCAGCTGCACAAACGCACACCTTTTCCTGAGGGACTCTGCGGGCCAACAAGGGAAGGCATGACCAGGCCACCAGGGTGGCCTGAAGTCACCTGTGGAATGGAAAAAAAAAATGTGCTCCCAGACTCGGGCCTCACTGCCACATGGGGCCCTGCTTATCCCTGCCGGCTTTGCCATGATCTGACTCTCAGGAACCGGAAACGTGGGGACTTTCCAGCCAGAAAACAAGGGCATCTTTATAGGTAACCCCATTCCCCCCGCCCCTCCGCCCCCACTAGCAGCATCCCCACAGCCGGAACTCTGCCAGCAGAAGAAACGCCTCAGTTGCAGCCCTAACCTTCGAAACCGGCCCCTGAGTGAGGGATTTCT